CATCTTCCCTCAAAAGCAAGATAATAATTTCACCTGCACAAAGCATGTTCTGGTACTCTCAATAATGCAGGGACAGGATGCCCGAGAAGAGAAAAAGGAAAACAAGATAAAGTGAAAATATAATTAATTTCCCTAATAGAGAGCATGCATGCTTTATTTGACCCCCCCCCCTTTTTTTTTGCATTTATTTACAACAGCAGTCTCATTAAATGCAAAGTTTCAATGTATTTTTACCAGTTAAGCTCTCACCAGGATATATAAAGTTTCTGCAACCTGATCTTATTAACATACCAAGTCAGTTCCTGAGTATGTATGCTTTAAAATGATTGTTATAGCCTGGAAAACCTGGAAAACCCTGGATATACTTTCTGAATATCCAGTTACTGCAAAACTAAAGATTTTGGTTCAGTCATGTGCTTCTGAAATACATATTTAATACTCTTAATCTGCATTTCTGATTAATCTGATACCGGATTTATTTTATGAGGGTATAGAAATAATTGTCAAGCATATGAATTACTAGGATTAGACATTATATTACCTGAATACATATTTTAGTTATTTATACCAGAAATGAGCACCAATTTAATAAACTGTTTTCTTTAAATTCGTAGGTGATGTAGATTTCTTGGGTGTTGGAGACTGCTATCTATATTATAGAATTTCCTCAGGGGTAGCGTATAAGCTGTGTTGGTTTTGGATGCTATTTTAAAAGCAAGTTGCATAAAAGGATCCCACCTGTTCAGGGGACAGTTCATGGGTTTGGACAAGTGTTAATTCTGTGCATGATCCTAAACCCCCAGCAGCACATGTCACTAGTGGCACAGCCTCTACCTTGGGTTTCTGCAAAGCTACTTATGCAAGTTACTTGTGCAAGAAGCTTCCTTGGAATTATTCAGGTTAGGAAGTAAATGGGAGCCATCACGATTAAGGTGCTCCCAGCAAGAAGAGTAGAGACAGGAAACTCATGGTTGGATAGGGAAAATGCTCACTGAATAGGTAGGTGTGATGCTGCTCAGATTGCTGGTCAAATGAAATGGGGGTGTATGCATGTGAGCAACCACAGTGTGTGTCCACTGGACATGTCCACTGGTCTGGATGTTTCTGGATGGTCTGAATTGCTTTACTAGCTCTTTTCATCTCAAGCTTCCATATCTAATCCTGTAGTTAGGGCAGATTCAAGCTGATCCAAATAGGGCTGGGGAAAGGAGACTGCCTGTCCTGCCTGTCGTGCCCTCGGGAAAGCTGTCTGGGCTGTAGCGCTGGAACGGTGTTTCACATGAACCGCCTGT